AAAAATGATATTAAAGATAAACTGCAAGAGTATTCTAAATTGAAATTATCATGGTTTGGGAGAATTGCTACAACAAAAATGAAAATATTACCAAAGATTACCTTCTTACTTAGAATGCTCCTAATACAATTAGAAGAAGATTTTAAGTACTGGCAGGGATTAATTAATGGCTATTGTAATCAAGGTAAAAAATCTAGAATAGATAAAATATATTGGTATAAGGCTCCAAAAAAACAGGTTTCGGTATCCCTAATTTAAAAAAATTACTATATAGCAATTCAATTAAGATTTATAGCAGACATTATATATAATAAAGAAAAATTATTTTGGTGGGAAATAGAATCTTCTGAAATAAATGGGAATGTTGAAAGGTACTTGTTTAATGTAGTAAAGAGAAATACAATAAATCAGATGGAAAACCCCTTTTTAAGAAATATGTTAAATATATGGAAGAAATATACAGTGGTGCCCCGCATAGTGAGGTTAATCCATTCCGGATTAACCGTCGCTATGGGGAAACATCGCTATACGGAATGGAAAACGTCATTGAAACGCATTAAACTTAGTTTAATGCATTCCTCTGGCTCCTAAACTCACTGTTCTGCGAAGTTTCCCCCATAGTGCCACCATTTTCACGCCCTTGGTAAGCGAGGGCAGGGTGTGAAAACGCTGCACGCAGCCATTTTGGGTGTCCGGCGGCCATTTTGGAACCACCGAAGAGCTGTTTAAAAAAACATTGTAATGCGAAGATCAGTAAGCGAAACGCTTACCGATCTTCGCAATGTGAGTTTTTCCCTATCTAAACATCGCAATGCGATCGCTTTTGCAATCACAATTACGACGTCGCTATGCGGATTCGTCGTTAAACGGTGCACTCATTAAGCGAGGCACCACTGTAAAGAGAAGCTATATCCCTCAACTTCACCATTAAGATTAGTGAGAGAAATAGAAAGTTTTCCTACAAATTTAAAGGGTTTACTAGAATTGTTTAAAAGTGTTGCAAGATTGAAGGACTGGATGAGTAAAATGAGATTGAAGGAGTTGATTATGGTTAAACTTCAAACTAATAAACTATCACGGTACAATTTTATTCAGTTAGATACTTGGACAAAAGATTGGTTGAAAACTAATGGTAAATGTAGAGAATGTACTAAGTACGAACAATTTCTGTCATCACATGAAAATATGCAGAAAGATCTAATGATGTAAGGAGTAGTAAATAGAATATATAACATAATTTTGGAACAAGACAAAAAAGGGGAACAGAAGGTTTGAAATTAATTTTGGAAAATGATTTAAAGACAGAAATTAAAACAGAGGATTGGATAAAAATGTGGAGGATGAGAGTTTTAAGATCAATGTCGAAAAGAATAAAGGAAAACAAAATTAAAGCTTGTTGGAAATGTGATGAGGAAATTGGTACGTATTTTCATATGCAGTGGGATTGCAAAAATGTTAAGAAATTTTGGGAACTAAGTTTTAAGGAAAAGATATCAAATGTAATGCTAAAATTGCTTTATTGTCAATTATTGACCATGTAGATTTGGATTATTATTCGAAGTAATTGATCAATTTTATGACAAGTGCTAGAATATTAATAGCTAGGTTTTGGAAAGACAAAAATGATTTTAAATTAGAAGATTGGTACAGTGAAGTATGGGACATCGAATTAAATGATAAATTGACTACAGAACGATGGCCTGGCTGAAATCATTTCAATTCTGGCTAAAACTTTTCTAAAACTCTGACCCAGATAGTTTATTATATCAACTATTTCAGGACTCTAAACCTCCCTTTGAGACGACTGCCCTTTTAAAAAAACTGAAATGAATTGGCTTAGATAGTGACTCCTTGGGCTCACTAAATCAAGGGCAAGCCCTCCCAATGATCAAAAGAAGAATTTTGGACATTGAATTCCAGGAACTATGAACGCAGCCAATAAGACCTCTTCACCCCTGTTTTCCCACATCCCCTTTAAACCAGCTGCCTTCCTTTCCCTGCTTAAATGTCCACAAAAACGTACGGCAGATGCAATGTCATACCTGCAGCCTTATTATATGGTAGGTTCAAAGGAATTCCGTACCTCGAAAGACATTCTTCATGCAAGCAGGGTGCATTGGAAACTCTTGCCCACATGTTTCTGCACTGTCCACACCATCAGAGTGGGGTCTTATCTGCCTTTAAGAGAAGTCCCGGATGACTTTGCAATGCATCCTAAAAAAATTGTACTTTGGTTCAGTTGATGGTGTCTTGTCTGACCTCTTGCTGGAGCTAAAATATTGGATAGCAAGCTTGGCCCATAACAAAATGGTCACAGTGCCAGAGGACTGGAGGATAGCACATGTCAGCCTCAAGGGAAGTCCCACATAAAGAGAATTACTGTAGATTATTCTTGAGACTCTCTGTGTGTGGACCAATCAGGGGAGTGAGCGGGCATCCAGGCAGGGACCCAGCTGCACAAGTCATCTAAGAGGGAGGTGATTCAGAGCACGGGCACTATCTGGTTGTTCACTGACAGCATTGGGACCAACGCCAGCATGCGTTGGGAACCACCCAAACCACAGACATCAGGGACACCCAGTCAGAGGACCCCTTCTTTGGGTTCAGCCTTAGTCTATTGTCCCTTTTATCCCCCCATTGAAGGAGAAGGTGAGAACAGAAATAACGTTACCTGTTAATCAATTATCATCAGAGTCCGAAGTAAAGGTGGATGGTGCACAGCAAAAACCTCCAGTCTGGATTGTCTGTTAAGGGGGAACAAGAAGGGAGGCTTGAAAGGGAACTCCACACACCCCAAATCAGGATGACCAAGGTTTGCCTCTTGTCAAGAGGACCTGCCCTTGGTGACCGTGGGGTTTGGGGTGAGCAGGATTCACATGTTTAAAATAAACAAACAAAAAAAACCCTAAATAAGATGCCAATAAAGGCATAACCTCAAACACCAACACTCTGCACATCTTCAAAGAGGAAGTGTGGTGTCACGGAGAGTACCAGACTGGAAACCAAGAGACCTGGATTCAAATCCTTGCTGGGACACGGAAACTGAGTGGAGAGAGTGTGTGGCAAGGGTACTTGAGCCACCTCTTGAAATCTCGCTTACCTTGCAAATGTTGGAAGGATCTGGGATTTGGTTCTTTGTTTTTCGTCCCCAAAACAGCAAAGACGACTCAGCTCAGTCTCACCCCTTCCTAGAAGAAAAGGAAAATATCAGCCTGGAGGCTTCATGGATAAAGCAAATCAAAAATATTTCCTTGCAGGATGTGCCTTCCTAATGTTTCTGCTGAATGGGGCTACATCCCCATCTCCCTCCTTCAGGCAGCCGAACAAGAGCAAGAGGAACGGAACGGAACGGAACGGAACGA